GGTGAAGAATACGCGGATCCATACAACCACTCCCCCATACGTCTTCATGGCGTAGTGCATAATTAGTCAAGCACAGGGATTTTACCATTTACCTTACCATTATGACGTACAGAAGAGTGTAGGTACAGATCCACGACTAAAAGACGAGACCAGCTTCACGTCCCGGCTGCTTTACCACCGAGGAAAGGGATCCGCGTGCCCAGCAGACAGGGACACGGTTGGACACTGCTGATCCTGTTTTTAGTTAAGCATCATTCCGTTATTAGGCAAGGGGAGTGGAGATACAGCTCCATACATTCTTAACCTCGGCACTAGATGGAGATGAGTGGTCAGGATCACGTTCCGGCCGTATCCACTGTTTACTTCAGCTAACATTCACACAAATTCATAAAGCAATATCTGGCAGGTCTCTCGACTGTTCTGCTCTACCTTCCAGTATTGTACCTGCCTTAGGGATCATAATGCATTCAAAATTCCCGGAATTCTGGTCTTTACTGACATTCGGCTCAGTTCTATTTTGGAACTATGAAGGAACACTTCTGACTACCGCATTTCTCTGAAGCTGTTCCAGGCACCAAATTCGGTTCCATTTATAGATCTGTTCTGTTTGCCGTAAGCCACAGAAAACACGATATAGCAGCCGCCTGGCAATTCTGAAGACAACGCTGGAAATATGTACTCGCAAAGTGTGCACGAACTTCCAAGCCCAGTCGGCATTGCGACGAACTGAACTGCCGACGAACCGGGATTCGGCTGCCGGCAGTGGTAACATTTGACAGCGTCTCTCATGGAATGGAATTCAGGGCTAGTTGCCTGGGGTTAAAGCGGCCGGACCATCTACTACCGATGACTAAGGTTTTCCGTTGTCTTCCTTGGACCCTCCAGCCACATGGCGCGGAGTACCGTAAATCTAAAAACGAACTACTGCATCCACGTTCCTTCTAACTGACTATTCACCATCCGGACTACTGAAAGCTTTGGGATTCCGATCGGGTGAGAAATGGGAAGGATAAGCCCGGGACCAACCGCTGCCTCACCTGACCTCACCCAGCCACAAACCATACAGAACGGGCAGTACTACCGGAACAGGCTAAAAAGGCACCAAACACTACCGACGATTAATTCCTTACAAAAATATTAACACAAACTCGTTCCGGAGTAGCTCAGTATAGCAACCCGTTTCTTATACGTTAGGGGGAGATGAGACTGAGTGCCTTTGTACCGTGGCCATAAATGGTCCTTGTACCAGCCCCGGAATGATAACTGGTAGGGGAAACTGATGTAATCCTGCCCCCACTGCCACTTTGCCCACCACAAATCACACACGAACTGACTCATGATGGAACCAGGGACGCCTGTGTGGCAAGTCGGAGGCTCGCATGAGCTATGGCAGGGACTCTCTGAACGGGATTCGATTCCCAGCAGGGGTAACAGATGGATGTGAAGCGACTCAGATAGCACTCACCTTCATCTAGCACGAAAGTAAGGAATCTATGGAGGTACACCTCCACAAGGTGTGGCAGTTAATTAAGCACTGGGACAATTATAATTTGGTACGTCAAGAGGTTCCTCCAGGCAAACGACGGGACAGCACCTCAAAGATCGTGTCCTTCCACAACCTCTCAACTCCATTACTCACCCGTCATCCTACCGCTTGACGCCACGTTGTCTCACTCACTAAATGCTTCATTACATCAACCGAGAATAACATTATATAAACTCCGAGGGTCCCAAAGACTCTTGTCCCTATGCTTAACTAGCTACGCACCATACCATTACGACGTATGGGGGAGTGGAGGTACAGCTCCACAATTCTTGTCCTCGGAACCAGTTGGAGGTGAGTGGTCAGCTTCATGCCACGACTGCTTTACCCACGGTTCTCACTGGATAGGCGGCTGGGTGAGCCCCAAAACCGGTCTCGAGGACGTGGAAAGGAGAAAATCCTCCCCTCCCCCCCGGGACTCGAAATCCGACCACTCGGCCGTCAGCCACGTACTCAGTCGCTCTACAGACTCCCTGCTTGCTGCTAATTTTGTACCAGACTCCACGGCGTTACAGTAACGAAAGCAAGAAAGGTATGTGGCACACGCACATGCTACGAAACAGGAAACGCAATGGGACTGGCGGCACAATACGCTGAAGCCGCTTTTTCCTACGTCACAAAGGAATCACAATACCGTTGCTAGGCAACGTGTCTGTTGTGATGCATAGCTCGCAGGCGTTTCCTCGTCTTTATGGGACATGCATTGTACAGTTTATGCTAATCGATGGACTGAGGAAGAGAGGAAAACAGACAGCTCTACCCAATCCCATGGAACTCCAGAACTACTGGGTTACTTCAGCGTTCAGTAAGGACCTTACTGCAGGGGCGTGCCATAGACCCGTGTTAGGTCAGATGGGATTTGTGGTGGACTAAGTGGTACTGGGGCAGGGGCAGGTTTTCTCCGAGTACTTCGGTTTCCCCTGCCAATCTTCATTCCACCAACTGCTCCACAATCACCCTCACCTATCATCTGGGGCTGGTACATTAGGCCAGAAGTGGCCGCAGTACAAGGGACTTAGTCCCACCTCATGAAGGGGGGAAGGACCGCACGGTCCGGAGACTGTACCTACGTACCTATTGACTGAGCCACGTTTGAGCTCATCCATAAACCGTAAATAATCACTAAACGAACTTTCATGAAAATTAATATGGTATCTGCAGACTGCAGCCACCTGCTCACGTTGGTTCCTCGCTCGTGGATTATTCTACCCTGAAGATGGAGGCGCTAAGTTCCTCCGAAACGTCGGTTCACACAAGATCTACACGATGTCACATCCCAGAAAACGGCACTCTACTTACTATCGCATTTATCAATCTGTATTGCATGTGTATATATATATATAACACGGAAACACACACAGGTCAAAAAATTAAAATACATTTAGAGGAACTATAATCACATGCTCATGTAGCTGACACCCTCTTTAGAAGCCGCCAATTGTGCAGCTACTCAAGAACTTCCCAGCATTTTATCGAACCCGAAGGTTCACTACCGTGTTCACAAGAGCCCTCCACTGGTCCATATCCTGAGCCATATCAATCCAATCTATAGCATCCCATCCTATCTCTCTGAGATCCAGTTAGTAGTGTCCACCCACCTACGACTTAGGCACTATAATACAGGGTGTTTTAATTTTATCGCGAGACCAAGGACCGTCACGAAGCGCATGACACTGCTGCTCCAGCACATTGATCGACGGTACGGTCGGTCGCCCCAACATCGCTCCCAATAATAAGAAACGAAAAGACTATAAAATAAGATGGAGATATGAGCAGACACGGGAGCAGAATGAGATAAATCTGCCCGGAAGAGAGTGTTCCAGTCGGAAGCATGGTGCAGCTAAGGCTCGCGTCACACTAACCATTCATTGCAACAAATGTGTTAATTGCTGGCTCAGGGCCTCTAGTAAACGCCCAGTGATCTGTGATGACGCTCCGATTTCACGCCAATGTGTCGAATAGTAATGAAGCATTATGGGAGAGAGAGGGTAGAAACAGGTCGTGGGGGGGGAGCCACAACTGGCCAATGAAAACAAGGGGTGAGGAACACGATAAGGCGCCATGAACGAACAACTGGAACCGTAAGCCATGAAAACGACCTTGTCCCATTTAAACAGTTTCACAACTTAATTCACGCCTACCTTGAGGATGGAGGCATATACTTCTCCGAAATTTCGGTACCTATCTACCGGATCGTCATAACCCAGAAGACTACAATATGAACCCTAAATCTGCTAGTCACTCTGCAAGCAAAAAACTGCACCTTTCAGCCCCAGAACAAAAACTTCATGTACATAGTACAAGCCTTGTATCAAATGTACACGATCTTACGACGACGGTAAGAAGTTTCCATTTAATGATTTATTTCAGTTGTGCATCCATATGGTACATAGCATACAAAATTGCTTTATTCTGTCACACCCACCCCCAGGGACCACACTTAGTCACCTGATGCGTCGAGGGCCGAGGGCATGTTGGAACCGGCGTCTAAAAGCCAAACCACTTTGCAATATGGCTCTGACGTTTCCATACACGCCAGACGGAAGGACTGACCACGTGACATGGATGCGCAGCAGATTTCGCATTTCGCCTCGGGTTCAATCCCCGGTTACATGACGCACGAGCACGCCTAGGCTTTCATTCTACGGACAGGAATGGCCAGAACAGTTGATCACAAAGTTACGTCTAGCAGTTTTAGCAATATTTCTTGCGGATCGTCCCTGCCACTTTCTAAGGGACCCAACAGAGGAAAGGAGAATGTCTGAGTTCCACTCGCCTGAAAACTGTAACAGATCCAGGTTCCGAAACGCTTTAGAAACTGGACAACGGACAAAGTTAAAAACCCCAATGAATCTGAGATTCCGCCATATTTGCTCAAAGCAAGAGCTGTGGAGCCAGAAAAACAGCCGTTGCTAGGGAACGGCTCTAAAACAATATTAGTTTCTGGACGACGGCTCGGTAAACACATCCACACGGCAACGAAAACGCATGCAACAAGAGAGGTACTGTTGCAAACGGTGTTTTATACTAGGTCCGTGAAAATGGGTTATAAGGAAGACAACCGGGGCAAGCGAGTCAGTTCTGAATGCGAGTCTGTGAAGAAGAGAGTTCAGTTGGAAGGGAGCCGCCGTTCAGAGAGGATCTGAGCCAGGAAGCAAAGGACTAGCCACTGTTAGAAACCGTTACCAGACAACTACTAGTGAAAACATTGCGGGCTCGAAAAGACTTCTAAAGTGCGGAGATCATCGATGGCGCTATAATTAAGTTGTGTCAAAGTGGTCAATAATTCGAAACCAAACCCCGTCTATAGTCATCCCATAACACGTGATAAAATTAATCACCTTACCATCCACACTACATAGCCTCAATACTGACCAACTGTAACAAATATTCACATCTTTGACCCGGCACCTGGCAGTGAATGTGGCAGGTCGGTAGAACAGCGTGCTGTACTCACCGGTCCGAGGGTTGACTAGAGCCGCCGGGAGAGGGCTGGGTGCCCCGCACGGCCGAACAGGGACCCGCCGCCACGACAATCAGGTATTTCCGGGCACTCCATCGCGGGGCCACACCTCAGCTGGAACAGGCAACCGCTTATTACAATTGGACTGCACTTACACTTCAGCCCAGCACGTCCGTGAACATCTACCAAACTATACGGTATCACATACAACACGACAGTGTCCCTGTGCTTAACTAAGCACTACGCCTTGAAGATTCGGAGTTGGGAGTGGATATCCGCCTATTCTTGACCTCGGCACTCGGCGGAGTGGTCAACTTCACGCTCCAGCCGCTTTACCTCCAGGGAAGTACCATCTGGTACCCACTGTATATGAGGCCATATGTGCCCGAGCCCGAATGGACGATATGGAGAAGAGAAAAATCTTGCCCTTGCCTGGAAGTGAACCCCGGGCGTCCAGCCCGATGCTATACCGAGCTATCTCGACTCTTCCAAAGACAATCCTCTTAAACAATAACCACTTCAAAAGCAGACTTGATAATATGTCTAATATAAAAGTAGTAAGGGCACTGGTTGAGGCACTATGCTGCAAGCCGGAAGGTCGCGGGCTGAAGTCCCGACGAGGTCATTGGATTTTTTCAATTGATCTAACCCTTCCGGCTGCACTATGGCCCTGGGGTCGACCCAGCCTCTAACAGAAATGAGTACTAGGAATATTCTTGGAAAGTCCTTGGAGGTAAAGGGCGGCCGGCGCGTAGGGCTGACAACCTTACCGCCATCTGTGAGCCGACTGTCTAGATAATGTGGGCCCCTCAACATCTCAGAACCCTATGGGCCTCCACGGCCTGTCACAGGGATAGCTTTACTTTTTACTATAAGAGCAGTTAAAGTTTAGAAAGCCGGCAACGGTATGCGGACCACTAACACCTAACCACACCTCTGTGTAGTATTGCACTGTATGAAGTTCTCTGGGGTTAGCGACGGCCGCCTCACACGCGTGACTAATGTGTTGACACGCAACAGGAGAAACAGGCCGCGTGACAGTACAAAATATGGTCTTACAGCTGCAATGCAAATAACATAACTTCACTGCCAGTGGGGAGGGACGAAGAGTGCGACTTGTGTTTGAACAGTTTGTTAGTTACTCTCCGTGGAGGCACGAACATGACAACGGCGACTTTCCTCTGCAACTAACACTACACAGCGTCCCACGGCAAAATTATTAATTAACGATCAAATGGGAAGGATGTGAGAGGAATCGTTCGTTGCCTATTTCAATGGACTATCCCGCATTTTCATGTAGGAACTGTGGAAAACATCGAAAAATGTCAATTAGGACGGTCGTGTCCGTGTCGATGTTCGAACTGGGCACGCCATAACATAGGGCAGAAATGTTACCGCTTGATCCGGCCTGAATGACATGGTCTAATGGATAGCACTCTTGCTTCGTATTCCGGAGGTACTGGGTTCAAATATCGGCCCTCAACACCGGCCATCCTGGTTATGCGTCACGTGGCTTCCCTTGTTCTCTCCCGACAAATGCCAGGATACGATCTTACGGTAGGGCACGAGGTAGCGTATTCTGTTGAGGCACAATGCTACAAGCGGGTTAGATTCCCAATGAGGTGACTGGATTTCTCAAATTGACGCAATTATTCCAATCGCACTATGGCCCTGGGGTCGACTCAGCCTCCAAAAGACATGAGTACCAGGAATCTTCCTGGGGGTAAAGGTTGGCCAGTGAATAAGACTGACAACCTCACCGCCATTTGTGAGTCGACTGTCTAGAAAATGTGGGAGCCTCGACGTCTCACAGCCCTATGGGCGTCCATGGCCTGTTACAGGGATAGCTTTACATTTTTCTTTTTACTGTTATTCAACATTCTTAATATATGTCTTTAGGTAGCGTACTTGGTTGAGGGGCTATGCTACAAGCTGGAAGGTCGCCGGTTTAAGTCCCCACGAGGTCACTGAATTTTTTTCAATTGACCTAATCCTTCCAGCCGCAGTATGGGCCTGGGGTTCACTCAGCCGCTTACAGAAATGAGTGCCAGGAATTAATTACATATTTTTCCTGGGGGGTAAAGGGCGGCCGGCGCGTAAGGCTCACAACCTTACCGTCACCTGTGAGCCGACTATCTAGAAAATGTGGGAGCCTCGACGTCTCACAACCCTATGGGCCTTCACGGTCTGGTACAGGAATAGCTTTACATTTTTTTTTACTTTTTTAATATGACAAAGCTTCAAGCCCATACAAAACAAAGGTAACATTATAATTCCACACATTTGAGCATTTACTTATACATTTACGTATTAGGCTGGAAGACATCATCATTAGTTATTAGAAACAATTTCTGTGCTACAAACGGGACCAGATATCAAATCCCTGCACTGCACTGGCTTCACGTTATTCTGGTGTCTATTGTCTGTGAAGGCGCTGCCAACCGTCAGTTCCGTGTGATTCTGCAACTGATGTTCACATTTTCCAAATTACAGGGTCTGCGCTCTCAACTGTCAGTCTTAATAAATGGAATTCTCATTTAACGATGTTTCCTTTCATGACGACGCCGTAAGCAACTTTCTATTGAATTTTGTCAGAACGCTGAGACTCCATCTTCTCAATAACACTCAACTCTGGATTCACAGCCTCCTGCATAACATCTGCAACTCCCGAACTTCAAGACAAACACTGCTGCCAACTTCGCACCTTACATATCACATCAAGATTATTCTGTGCAACAACGGATAAACCAGGCAAACTTTTGATCTAAAAGTAATTCGCGATTTTAACACTTCATACAATTCTTCCAACATCACTGTATGTAACTTTAGGCAGCTGCAAGAACTCATACATTCAGAAATTCCGAAAGCTCTTTCAGAACTCAACCGGACGAAACTGACCGGCAGTTTAATGCCGTGTACAACTTGTTGCCTATTCGATCTTATCCTGTAGCCGCGGGTGGGGGGTGGGGGTGGGGTTGTGCGGTACAGAAGCCAACAGTTCGCACACCAATCACCAGATGTCATGCTGTACCGAGACATAACGACAGACGTGGTTGACCTTTCCCTCGGCATCTCCGGGACCCATCTGTTCGCTTCTGCCGGACGGACACAAACCACTGGTGCTCCAAGCGTGAGTTTACAGCAAAGGTTGCCTGTTACCTGGTAAAGGCCTTCGCTGCTTGCCGTTCCGAACAATAACATATCCACTGATAAGTAAAGAGTAAAGTTATGGAGTTCCTCAACATCCTTACTTACTCACTCATGGAGCTGAGCCCTAACTGGAGGAGCCGCCAAATCTGCAGCTACTCAAGAATTTCCCAGCATTTTGTGGAACCCGCAGGTTCATTACCGTGTTCATAAGAGCCCTCCACTGGTCCCTATCCTGAGTCAGATCAATCCAATCCATACCATCCCATCCTATCTCTCTAAGCTCCATTTTAATACTGTCCACCCACCTACGCCTTGGTCTCTCCAGTGGTTTCTTTCCTTCTGGCTTTCCCACCAATATCCTATATGCATTCCTCGTCTACCCCATTCATGCTACATGACCTGCCCACCCCATCCTCCTTGACTTGATCATTCTAATTATACTTGGAGAAGAGTACAAGTTATGAAGCTCCTCATTATGCAGTTTTCTCAAACCTCCTGTCACTTCATCCCTCTTCGGTCCAAATATTTTCCTCAGCGCCCTGTTCTCAAACACCCTCAGTCTGTTCCTCCCTTAATGTCAGAGACCAAGTTTCACACCCATACAGAACCACAGGCAAAATTATAGTTTTGTATATTCTAATTTTCTCCAACATCCTACCCAGCATAATCAGTTCCTATGCTTTCGTGAAGGACCTTGTGAGCTGCTCAGATTACACAGCGTTGAATGGTAGAATAATTTCTGAATAATGAACAGGAAAGGGTGTATAAGGAAGCGGGCGTGGCCTAATTTGAGGTACTATCCCAACACTTGCCTGGGAGAACCGAGACAAACTATGGGAAGCCTCAGTCAGGCCGATATGCGAATCGGTGACCTCCAGGATGCAAGTCAAAGGTATGAGGACTTGCAGCAGCCGCCTCGCCCCCTGGTCCCCCCCCCACACACACACACAACAAACTGTCTTGCACATGGTGTGTGTGTCGCTCTGTTTCCGATACAACTTGCTCTTAAACGGGCGTTCGGACAGGAAAATACTGCACAACGGTAACTATATGAACCACCTGCTTTAACATACGAAAGCTGTGCATTCTGCTGATATGGACAGTTTTTCTTGTTTAGGTATGTAAAACTCATGCCCAAAATTTGTTCAAACCTTTCAGTTACACCCTGTACATGCATGAACACTCATTCACTCTGAAGATGGAGGCAGCCCTGCCGAGGCCTCTGCCCCCATTCCGACACTCGAGGCACTGTTGACCGGTTGAGGTCACGGAACACAGGGAGGAATGAAGCAGAGGTGAAAGGAAACGGGAATGAACGTCAAGGAGACGGATAATGAGCGAGAGGAGGGAACAAAGAAGAGGAAGAGAACGCATGAAAGAAATACAAATTCCACTTGCAGTGCCGCTAGATATGGTCACCGCCGAGAGGTCAGCCCCCCCCCCTCACCCAAGAGCCCTTCCTCCCTTCCACAGTATGCAGCCTTGTACGGTTGCTAAATAATCTGCGCTCTGAAATAAGTTCCGGGGGCGTGAAGCTGACCAACCACCGTCAACTGGTACCGAGGTCAAGGAAATGTCTTATCTACACATGCACTCTCCCATGCGTCATGACGTAGTGCTTAATTAGTTAAGCATAGGAGCAACTTTATATCTACCTTTAATAAACGCCTGCCCTCAGTATGAGCTGGTCGCACGGAACGCGCAGGAAACCCTGACCCCATTACACCACTCCGTACAGATGGAAACGCTCGTCGCATTATTTGCAACTCCACTCATCCCGCTCGCTAACATTTCAATTGAAGCGACACTCTTCCCTCAGCACATCCCCATTTGCAATGAATCTTCGCATAAATCGCATTAAATGAAGGTAAAACGGGAAGGCAGTGCGTACCAGCCGCCATTACATTCACCGCGGTAACTACCTGATTCCAGGTAAAATTTGCCGTCAAACACAAAACGAGATA